ACAACAAATATTGAATCTTTACTAGACCTACTCCTAGACAAACTTAATATGAAATTCATAGAAATATCAACCCAAGAAAATTCAGGAATAGGTAGCGGAGTATACAAACCATGTGGATGAACAGTAGACTTCGACGAGAGACACGTTGTATACCGACGAACTGCGGCTTCAACTTCAGCTTTCATTTGTGGCAAAAAAAAAATGTTTCTGCAGCAAGTTAAGTGTCTTGCTCCTACCAAAGCGTCCCATCAAACCCCCCGAATAACTTTTCCAAATCAACAATTCTCTTAAAGAGCATTTAGGCACACACAATTTATTTTCTCACAGCAAATACCCCTCACGTACATGATACCTTTCAAATGCATGAGAATTGCACTTAGCAAATATATTGGAGAAATCAGGGTCAGTTGTATATAATTCTTTCAAATACTAAAAACCTAATAGCTTAGACTCAAGTGTGGTAACAAGTGCATACCTGTGTGACAATGCATCCGCAACGATGTTTTACTTACCCTTTTTGTATTTAACAACATAGGGGAATGTGTCAATGAAGGTGATCCATCGGATGTGTCTCGTACTCAACTTACTTTGGGATTTGATATGCTTGAGGGATTCATGATCAGTGTACATAACAAACTCACGAGGACGTAAGTAATATTGCTGTGTTTGCAGGGCCCGCACTAAGGAGTACAATTCCTTATTGTAGGTTGAGTAATTCAACGCAGCGCCATGTAGCTTTTCATTGAAAAATGCAACGGGTCTCTTTTCTTGCGAGAGGACAGCGTCAATACCTACACCAGAGGCATCACAATCAAGTTCAAACAGTTTAGAGAAATCAGGTAAAGCAAGTACGGGTGTACATGTAAGTTTCGATTTCAAAGTATCAAAAGCATTTTGTTGTTCACTTCCCCACTCAAACTTATCCTCTTTTTTGATAATTGCAGTTAAGGGTGGTGCAATAGTGCTGAAGTTCACCACAAATCGACGGTAGAAACTTGCAAGGCCATGGAAATTGCGGACATCACGTACGCTAAAACCCAAAAAGTTGCACTTGTCAACACAAAAGTCGCATTCTTTTTTAAGTTAGCATTATTATCGGTAATCAAACCACAATTTTTTTTAATATGGTGAGTCATGGACCTCAACCAAACGCATTCACGACTGGCTTCATGAATTGCTAAAACCTTAGCGTGGTTTGAAGAAGTAGTTGTTATCGTCTGTTTAGCAAATCTCCAAGAGATTGCGGTTCCGCCACAAGTAAATAAATAGCCAGTTTGAGATTTTGCTTTGTGTGGATCAGACATATAACCAGCGTCAGCATAACCGATTAATTCATTTCGAGATACACTCGAATAAAATAGACCGAGGTCATGAGTCCCCTGAAGATAACAAAAAATGTGCTTGATACCATTCCAATGGCGTTTTGTGGGGGATGCACTAAACATGGCTAGTAGATTTACTGAAAAAGATATATCTGGCCTGGTACTATTTGCAAGGTAGATTAATGCACCAATAGCGCTGAGATATGGTACCTCGAGGCCAAGTATTTCTTCATTTTCTTCTCTTTGGCCTAGATGGATCTTTACTGGGATCAAAGGATCTGACCACCATTGGTGTACTCAGAGAGTGAGATTTATCCATATAAAATTGTTTTAATACCTTTTGGGTATATATGGATTGATGGATAAATATTCCATTGTTCACATGATCCACTTGTAATCCCAGACAATATTTTATCTTTTCAAAATATTTGATCTCAAATTCTTTCTTTAGATATTCAACTGCAGTTTGGATCTCTTCTGGAGTTCCAATTAAATTGAGATCATCAACATATATCGCAATAATGACAAAATTTGATCCATTTTTCTTGATAAAGACGCATGGGCATATTGGATCATTAGTATAACCTTCTTTTATTAAACATTCGCTGAGACGGTTATACCACATTCGCCCTGATTGTTTAAGACCATACAATGACTTTTTCAATTTGATGGAATATGATTCCCTTGGGTACAATTTGTGTGCTTTGGGCATATTGAATCCCTCAGGAACTTTCATATAAATATCAGTATCCAATGAGCCATAAAGATATGCAGTAACTACGCCTAGAAGACGCATGTCGAGCTTTTCTCGCACTGCTAGGCTCACAAGGTATCTAAATGTTATTCCATCAACAATCGGAGAGTATGTTTCATCAAAATCTACTCCAGGTCTTTGTGAGAATCCCTGAGCTAGAAGACGGGCTTTATATCTCACAATTTTATTATGCTTATTTCTTTTTCGGACAAATACCCATTTGTATCCAACTGGTTTTATACCATCTGGTGTTTGAACTATTGGTCTGAAAACCTCTCTTTTGTTTAATGAGTCAACCTCTGATTAAATCGCATGTTCCCAATTTGGTCAGTCATTTCTTTGCCGACATTCATGAACCGATTTTGGCTCTGGATCCTCGTTTTCTTCCATTATATCAAGTGCTAAACTGTATGCGAAGGCATTATCAATAATTGCCTCTTTGCGGTTCCAACATTTTCTTGAAATAACATAGTTAATTGAGTTTTCAATAGTCTTATCATGTTCTTCAAGATTGTGCTCTTCTGAAGCAATTATTTCAGGGTTGACTTCCTCGTTAAATTGAGGTTTATCAATGTCATTCCTGATATTTTTATGATTATCATCATTAATTCCTCTTTTCTTTCGAGGATGTTTGTCTTTGGAACCGAGTGTTCTACCACGCTTTAAGCGTGTCGCTGATTCATTAGCACTTGCAATTTGTCCATTAGAGACAATTATTTTAGCCGGAGCATTAGCAGCTTGGATATATGATCGAGTGACTTTGCTCGAGTCATTGAATGCATCCGGTAACTGATTTACAATATTTTGCAAATGTATAATGCGTTGAACTTCTAGTTCACATTGCTTTGTACGAGGATCACAAAAATTCAATGGGATTTTCCAATTAATATCCCTTTTCGGTTCGTTTTTGTCTCCCCCTAATGTCGGAAATGTGATTCGTCAAGATGACAATATGCAAATCTTGCAGTGAATAAATCACCCGTCATAGGTTCAAGATATTTTATAATTGACGGCGATTTATATCCAACGTAAATGCTCAATCTACGTTGAGGACCCATTTTTGTATGTTGGGGGGTAGAATAGGAACATAAACAGCATACCCAAAAATACGTAGATGAGATATATTTGGTTTGTGACCAAATATTAACTGCATCGGGGAGTAGCTATGATAGCTTGTCGGCCTCATTCTTATAAGTGTTTCTGCATGTAAGATTTCATGCCCCCAAGCTTAAACGGACAACATAGACCTCATCAATAATATTTTATAAATTAATTGCAATATATTAATAAGTGATTCTGCCAAACAATTTTGTGTATGAACATGAGCAACTGGGTGCTCTACATTAATTCCAATCGACATGCAATAATCATCAAATGCATTCGATGTATATTCACCAGCATTGTCCAGACGTATAGTCTTAATTGGATTATCGGGGAATTGTGCCCGTAATTTAATAATTTGGGCAAGCAATCTCGTAAATGTCATATTGCGAGTAGATAATAAACAGACACGTGACCATCTGGTAGATGCATCAATAAGCACCATAAAATATTTAAATGGCCCACACGGTGGGTCTATTGGTCCACATATATCCCCGTGTATTCTTTCCAAAAATGTAGGTGATTTAATACCTATTTTAGCTAGCGATGGTCTGGTCATCAATTTTCACTGAGTGCAGGCAACATAGGTTAACTCATTTGAGTTTAACACTTTTTGACCTTTTAATGAATGACCATGCGAATTCTCCGTTATTCGCCTCATCATTATACTGCCAGGATGCCCAAGGCGATCATGCCATATTTAAAAATCGATAGTCTTTTGATCTATCGTGAGGTGTGTTTCAACAACACCTAATCTGGCATAATATAAGCTAGTAGAGAGTGAGGGTAATCTCTCAATGATGCATTTCCTTTTATCAATGATATTTGTGATCAATAAAAATTCACCATCGGTATCACTTATAGTTTCAATGTGATTACCATTTTTCCGAATGTCCTGAAAGTTCAGTAAATTTCTTCGAGCTTTAGTGGCCAACAGTGCATAGATACAATTTTCGTCCCCGCGAGGAGTAATATAATGGCTTCTCTGGAGCCTTCAATTAATTTTGCACTGCCACTTATTGTATTGACATTCATCTTTTCCTTTTTCAAATGGGAGAAATATTTTTCGTATTTCAATATAGTATGTGTCGTTGCACTGTCAATGAAACACATATTTGCATCATTTTGATTGACATCCATTTAACCAAAAATAAAATAGACAAGAGCCTCGTGCTGATAGCATGTTATATAAATAATAATATAATATTGATAAGTGTAATATATATATATATATGTACGGGTGTGCTTATATAAATATATATATAAATATAAAGGTGTGTATATGTATGTATATAATTATATATATATATGGTTTATACAGAGAGAGAGAGAGAGAAATGAAAGGAAGCAAATTAACTAATATTTCGTTGGTGAATGTTGTGTATTATTTCATCAAATCAATTACATATATATAGACATCTTTAACCAATTAAAAACGTCCACACCTCAGCCTACACTTGCTATACGAATTCAATACATAATCGTTGCGTAGTGAATAGGTGTAACAAAATTAGCATTATTATATGTAACATTTAATTATAAAAGATCCGAATGATTCAACGCGTATGTATACTGATATATTATGTATGTATGTATGAAGAGGGGGTAGGGATTGGATTGGAGAAGGGCCGGTGATCCCTTCCTGATGAGTTTATCATTCATTACATTAATTCGACATAACGGTTACTATGAGTAGTAGTTGTTGAGTTTATCATTCATTACATTACTTCGACATAACGGTTACTAGGAGTAATAGTTGTTGTTGCATTGACCGACCGACCGACTGACTAAAAGAGATTGTGAAAAATACATACATGCATATATATAGTAACAACCAACTAACATTTATTGCGAAATTTATAACAAACAAAATCTAGAGCGAACCAACGATGACGCACAAGGATATGAATGTATGTATGTATGAATGTATCCATCCATGTTCCACAATACCAATTTGAAATTGCCAGCCTATGCATTAATAAGATTCTAAGAAGAAGAAGAAGACAAGGCATGGGAATGTATTAACAAGTGTCTGTCGTACTAGAGGTGGGGACTCTACCATCCATCCATCCATCCATCCCATCAACAACACAACACAACACAACACAACACAACAAGCCCCAGTCATCATCATCATCATCATCATCTATTTCCTCCTCCTGTACAATTACACAGTCGCTGGCTGCTATGCTACAACTTCATTTCATCGTGCAGCCAGGCAGGTAGGCTAATAATTCATCATTCCATCGGCATCTGTATACATAGTAAGTAGACAGACAAGTGACACCTTCCCCCATTTCTCCATTCAACAAAGTTGAGTCTTTAGTTAAGTTGTCTTCAAACCTCAACAATTCTATATCTTCCTCTCCGAATTCATTTGAAATCTCAACAGGTTCGTCCAACAAAATGTTAACTGTTGCCAATGCTCCAAAAATTGACTGTAGGCTTTATATCTGAGTCAACTCTTACGTACATACATACATACATACATACATACATACATACCTGCTAAAATATTATACGTAACATGGCACAAGGAAAACAAAAAGGATTAATGTATTGAAATGTGATGCATTCATGAAGAAACTAAAGAAAAGAAATCATAAACAGCATTCATGCATTCACCAGTCACTGATTGTTTATAGCAGTTAGGATTGGCTTAAGGCATATTATTTGGCATAAGAATAAAGGCAAATAGTAGTCAAACTAATTAGCAGTCTATAAGATAAATCAGGACCTTCACTTGGTTATCCTCGCTCTGATATCAGGAATTTCATCACTTCTTAAACAACCTCAACAGCAAACTTATAAAAGGTTCTTGTATCACTGATTCCATGAAGCAAATAACTTGTTCAAACTCAATAAGTAGATCAACCACCAACACAGCTAATAAGTCTCACTTTATTGTAGTGTAGCATCCAGAGAGTAATGATGAGAATTAGGCATGACAGAAATCAGTAAAAGTGGCGAATAGCATGATAGAAGGAATGGCTAGTGATGACAAAGAATCAAACTAGTCCGTCTGAGACAACAAAGAATCGAAAAATGTTGCAATTAGCTTGGTAGAAAGAATAGGTAGTGATGATAAATTATCAAAGTAATCTGTCTGAGACAGCAAAGGTTGCAATTAGCATAATTGGGAAAAAATGGCCAGTGAAGATAATCAAAGTAATTAGTATGAAACAACAAAGAAAATATTAAATTATTAATTATGCAAAAGATAATAATTATCAAGACTTGAGTCAGAAAATAAGTTTTGCATATATTCTTAAATATCAAACTAATTACAACAAGTTTGTTTGGTTGTGTTTCGGAAAAACATTTTCCCTTTTGATCTATGTGTTAAGACGGGGATTCGGGATTTCAACTTAAAACCAATTGGTTGTAAATGGATTAGCCCTTCACCCCTTATAAGATAGGGGAATCCCAACATTACATCCAATGTGGGATACTTAACACTCCTCCCTCGAGATGGTAATCTCGAAAATCCATACAGGATCAATACCCAATACGGACATCATGGCTCTGATACCATGTTAAGAAGTGATCCGGGCATCCAACCTAAAACCAATTGGTTGTAAGTGGAGTAGCCCTTCACCCCTTGTAAGGTAGGGGAATCCCAATATTACATCCAATGTGGGATACTTAACACTATGGAAAACTACTTTTGCCATAAAAAACATCAAAACAAATATCTACTTTTTATTTACAATATTAAATCCAAATTTTATTTATTTAAAATGTCTCATAAATATCTATTTATATCAAATTTTACTTGTATTCAATATATTACATCAAACACCTATTTATAATCTCCTCAAACAACTATGTCAAATTAAAAGCAAATTGGAGTTTCGGCGATCAAACTAAACACAAATATCACGAATTTGAAAGAATTTAAAATTATGCTTCCCTACTTGCTGAATACTCCTAAAACTCATTATATAGAGGTAGGCATAGGGTGTGGATATAAAAACAAGTTAAAATTACAAAAAATTAAGAATACTAAAGATATCAAAACCGCTAAAGAACAGAAAAAACAAATTCAAAGTTCCACAGCAGAATGCAAGCCATTAAAATAAATTCTGAGAAATTTTACAAATTCTGAAACATTTACGTAATCAAGAAAATGCATATTACTAAAGCAGAGTATTAGTCGTTAACTACACTTCTTATATACATTTGCAAGCTCTATAAATGGCTTTCCATCAAAATAAAAATACTAGTATCAATACAAAATTTTGCAATTGGAAAAAGTCAAGTCACATAGGTTCCCCCCGCAATCTCAATTTTTGTGAACAAGTTGCGAAATCTCATTTCTACATTCCCATATTTTTACTTTCCACCACATTCCTAGAAGTGGAAATAATTTAGCTGACTTTCTTGGTAAGCAGGGTGCTACATCTGGAGCATCTGGAGAGGATCTTGTCATTTGGCTCTAAGATTCTTCATTTCAAAGCTCTCATTCTAAGATCCTTCCATCCAAATGAAACCTAATTAACCATTTTGAGACTCTAACATGTTGGGGATGCAAATAAAATACAGTTTTCACATGCCCGAAAAAGAGAAGGGAAATTGTAGATAACTAGAAATTCATATAAGACACTATGAGAATGCAAAGTAAAACATGTGAAGAGGGGAAAATAATAAATCTCACTCCTAGAAATGAAACCTCAGTCATCTAACCTTAACAGCCAACTCGTTGACACGTACCAGTTGGCAAGTTTTTCAGCTCTAACTGCACCACATACTGTAGTTCACATTATGCAGTTTAGTTGGTGAGGCATGGAGCACCGCAAAAACTCATGCCTAGTGTGCGAGGCAATAGTTTCTATACATGCAAAAAGGGACACTAACAGAAGACTGAGATCCTTCTACCTCATCTAGTAAACCTACTCACTACCAGTGGATTGGAAGCTTAGTGCCAAGCTGTGCAACTATGTGGCGCTGTTGACTTGCAGAGAATATGAATTATTTTCTATTTCAGTTCTTTAAGCTGTATTTTTTTAGCCCAAGCTCAGTATTACGTTGATATTAATGAGTCAAACTGATGTCCGGGCCTGTGATATCTGTATATAGGCGTAATATGTTGAAAATACTTTGTACAGTCATCAGGGATCAACATAGGCAAATCATCTTCATCCATCCAAATATATTGTAAATTGGAATAGTTGATTCCAATGTTCTAGAAATATTGGATATTTTCCATACTTTTGATAATATTTTGGACAACCAATTGGGGCCCTCCCCAAGATCTTGTTTGAATGTGACTCCAGTCACAAACACCCTAGGTTAGATTCAAAGAACTTCAACTCCATGGAAGCTAAATTTCAATATCAATAACCATCATGGTTTTATTTCAAATGTCCCCCTCATCATTTTCCAATGTAACTAGAAGCACAAACTCTTTGGGGGACCATTATGCCAAAATAGAAGCTCGGGTTAGTACAAACTTTGTCTTCTAGCTTTCGTCTTAGCATCGATGTAGATATCCCTACTAGCTCAAGTCTAGTCCTACTAGGAATAGCCTAGTTTAGTAAATGTCATCACCACATATGAGGTCTGATGTTCGATTCCCATAGCATGCATGATTTACGAGCAAGTTTTACAATAAGCTTGGTGTCAAAGTTGGGCATACAATTTTACATAAATTTCGATGGATATTTGAGGATAGGTTTTTAAAATTTATGAAAGTTGATAGAAATCACTGAACCTTCAAAATAGGTTTTTACATGTTTCTGTTTAACAAAACATGATACTATTAAATATAATGTCATACTAAATAATAAAAAAGAAATGTTGGATAAGAATGGTGTGTTTGATTTGTTTTTTGGTTGTGTTTTAGTTTTGAATTTTGGTTTAAATAATGATTGGATGTGAAGTTTTGGAAGATAAAATCATATCTTTTTATAGGAAATCACAAGGATTGCATAATAAAATAAAATAAAATAAAAAAAAATAAAATTGAGCTGAAGTAATAAAAACAAGATAACCCAATATCAACAATTTTTCGTATAAGAAAGTCATACTTGTTACAATACATAGAAGTATATTGAAATATAAATAAATGCTTTGAGATACATGTTGGATCAAAATACTTACCTATACATTCATAACTTGGATCTTCGCTCATCACATGAAATATAATTGCATGCTAACAATATTCAAATTTTATTCATTTACTTTTCTCTTAATTGAAATATTAAAACATATGTATATGATAAGAAATTTATTTATAATATATATATATATATATTTGTTGTGGTTTTATTTTGGATACCTTCTGATTTTTTCGTGAACATTTGGTGGTAAATTTCTGCAAAATTTCAATTAATTTTGACAGAGATTTCAAATAAAATTCTGCTAAATTCAATTCTACATCAAATTCATTTCACCTCAAATATACCAAAATCAATTAATAAAAAGTGAGCAAACTTCCAGAAGTTTGAAGTAAAATCATCTTTTATTGGTGCATTTGTTTATTGTTAAGGCTTTCTATTATCAAGCTTTGGCACATGTCCACAACTCTCAAGTCACATTTTATAACTCAAGATAGTTGGGATAGTTTGGTTTGTCTGAGTCGTTGATTTCAAAATATGCCACTTTCAACGTAGAGCATAATGCACACAAATATCAAGAGTCACAAGTCACAACCCATCAAGTGTCTAAAACTAAATACTCCTCCATCGGTATTTTTGTCACCTTAAGTTTAGCTTAACAGTCCCAAAACAAAGAGTGTAAAAGTTAATAACTACTATGGAAAAAGGATATTTGCAATGGTTGCTCAGCGCTATTGTTATAAGATTGGTAAGCTTTAGGCCATCACAAATCCGTGCTTATTTATATTTTGGTTTTACTTTGGTGTCTTTAGTTTTAAAATTTTTGATGTGAAACAGATGTTAAATGTTATGTGTTTAACAAAAAATAGTGCTGGATGTGATTTTACTTTAAGAGACAATTGAAAAGCACTAAAGATTAAATAGAGCAAAAAAGGAACATAAATAAATACAGCCAAAAATTTTACCCAAATCTCAAATTATACCACAAAGCTTTCTAAATATAAGCAATAATACCAACAAAATTTGTCAACCTCATATTTAAATCACTTGGATGTTTTGATAATTATTCACCACACAGAGGCTTAACATCTTTAAACAAAAAAGCAACCTACACCCTTAATAATTTATACAAGGGATAAATATATTTTTAGTCCCGTATGTGTTACCACTTATCATTTTGGTCCTTTAAGCAAAGTCTATGTAGAAATAATCATATACTTATTTCGTAGTTGCTGAAAATGTCCTTTTGTACCATATATTGTTATGTATGCTAACATGACACCGTCAAAATGGACACGGACTAGCCATATGCCAATTTCTAACACCAAATGGCAATTGCTTTAATTTTTTATACAAATATAAAAGTATATCTTTTTTTCACTTGATATATTCCCTCCGTTGCACCAATATATCAGCTTTCATCTTTTGGCTGTCCCATCCAAATATGGAATTTTCTATACAAGACAAGTTAACAATTTTAATAACAATTAAATCTTTAATTAATTCAAATTAACCTATTTAGTTTTTTATTCATAATTATTTCAACAATTTATAATTGATTACATTCAATTAGAAACAACAAAAGGGCTCGAAAATCAGAAAAGGGCATAATATGAAAATTCGGACTCAAGGTTGGGCCAAGCCGAGTTGAATTTTTTTTAAATAAACAATTTTAATTCTAATATTTTAAATAATATATTCTATAATTAATAAACTTTAATTGTGTGTTTGGTTGGTGGTTTAAATTTTGAGTGGATTTTGAATAGTAAATATTTTAATTTAAATAGTTGTTTGGTATGATATAAATAGATCTTGATGAAGATTTGTGTTTGGATGGGGCACAAGAAGTATAAAATTAAATCCACACTAATATTTGGTGCTAAAAATGACCACATGGCTAGTCCATGTCAGCACCGGCGGTGCTATGTCGGTACACGTGACAATATTTTGGTTGCAAAAGACCTTTTCTTTAATTGCCGAGTAGATATAAAACCATTTCTATACGGACTTCCATTAAAAAGAACAAAATGATAAGGGCGGTAAATACAAGACTAAAAAATATATTTATCCTGATATACAATGACCAAATCTACCCTGGTTAAGGTATAGCAGAACCTTAAGTCTTAGAGCTAATATTAATTAGAATAAGAAATATATATATATATTGACTAAAATTAATATTTTAGTGTTATACAAAAAATGAAAAATAAACGTTTGATTTTATATCTTTTGGAGGAAAAACTAGAATAGTAAAAACCTAGCAAAACCCTACAACTAAACACAATCCAAGTTCAAAGCCAAGGGAGTAAGAACCCAAAAGCAATAAATATCAATTTTTTTAAAGAGAAGAAGTTTGGCAATACCTTAAAAAAGATTTCCCAGTAGAGATCCCCAGCAAGTTCAAAATTCAGCAAACTCAACGAACCGAACTAGTTACAGATAGCAAGTTTTCCCATCCATTCATCAGCCACACCATAGTCAAGACTAAGCTCTCTCATGGGAGGAATGTTCTCTAAAGCAAAGAGCATGAGATGAGGAAAAGCTACAATATTATGATCATACAAAACAAGCTGCACCATGACATTCGGACTGGTACTGTGGCTCATGTAGCAAGCCATATTCCTCATCCTCGATACATCCATTGCAAAATCCAGAGGAGGGATTGATGGATATACTGGGCAAGAATATGTAGGATATACTTGAGACACATCGCCCCATTCTTTCCATCTTTCAGTAAAGCGATTGGGATAAATCAAGCCATCACCGTTCATAGAGATTATCTGTGCTTGTTCACGAGTAAGACAAAGCCCAGCATACTCGCATATAAAAGAACCAGCTTGGATCAAATCTAATGACCTCACTCCCCAGCTTCTCTCCTTCGTCCTGAAAACTTCAAATCGATATCTGATCCCCTTTTGTGTTACACGATTCCTGCAAGTGGGCGGACAATTACAACCAGGACCGCACTCAAATATCAATGGTTTGCCTCTCACCAGAATTCCATTCAATTCATATGGATACCAGCCACCATTTCTCATTATACAGGAACAAGTCCTATCCAGACAGTCGCCAATACAGTTACATCCACCCGTACCCACAAGACCAACCACATGAGGGGGGAAAATAGATGCTGTAATGTACTCATAATAAAGGGGATCATGATCCCCATCCACATCATTGTAATAGAGAACTGGATAGTTCTCCTTCTTGCAGGACAAATCGAGGGTAACATAACCTTTAGGTCGAACCTCCAAAGGCCGCACCCTTAAACTCGCAGCAAATCTCATGATAGCACTCCCCATTTGAGGTTGATTTTCTATCCTAACAAGCTTAAACTTGAAAACACCAAATCCAGACTTACCCATAGCAAACCAAGTCTCCACTATTCTGTACAGTCCATCATAAACATACACTTTATTAGCACCACTTTCATATTTAAAACCGCGGAAAACTCTTACCTCCACTCCATAGTTCATGCTCCTCTCCAATGCCAAGTTTCCACTTTCCAACCTCTGGTGCACAACCTGCCTATTGTACTTGTCCTGTCCGCCATGCCCAGTGTACACAAGAACCTCCCCTGCATCCTCGTCGTCCTCATATCCTCCAGAAACAATAATGCTCGTTGCAATGGGCTCCCCGTTCGAGCTCTGACTGGAGGGGACATAATCAATCCCCGCCTGTGGCTGCCCGTGCAACCCAAGGACGCACAACTCCATCCTGAAAAGGAAGACATCCCCAACCGAGACTCCGGGGATCTCCCCAACGACCCTCTTGTCACGGTTCAACCACAGATCGCGGTCCCTCATCATTTGGGCGGCCTTCAAGTCCGCCCTAGGTCTCCGGTGGGGAGGCATCGAATCCTTGAGCCGCTCGTCCTCTGCGAGTGTGTGCACGCGCAAGGAATTGTACAGAATTCGCGTCCGCCGAATTAGCTCCCGGAAATAGTTCCAGTCATCAGGTGAGAGATCTGTAACTCGAACCAGCTCCGAGGAGCGGGGCTTGGACTTCTTCGGGCCCGAGGGCGTCAGGACAACGTTCGTTAGGTGGCCATTCGGCTCCACGACTGGGACTATAGCCCTTGAATTAGGGTCCAGTTCGGCCGCGGGAGCGGGCGTGGCCACACCTCCAGGGTTGTCAGAGAAGGTGGTGTGGAAAAGTTGCGTAAGCCGATTGAATTCCGCCGTGAACACCGCGTTGCCGCTTCCGGGGGTCAGGGGGACGGAATTAGGGGTCGATAAACCGAAACCAAAACCGAAATTGAAATTGAAATTGAAGGGGGATGGGGATGGAGACGGGGACGGGGACGGGGATGGAAAGAATGGCCCGTCCAAGGGCTCTTGTTTGGGCTCAATTTTAGGGACGAGAAGAGGACTGACGGCGGACGAAGTGGCGGCGGCGGCCGGGCACAGATTCAAGTCCTGAAATGCTCCCACCGAATTCGACCCCATTTTTACAATTTCTCCCCCACCTCCCAAACAAACAGAAAAAGGGATAGGTGGAAGGAAGGAAGCTCGGCTACTACACGTCTGTCTCTGGCTATGGCGGGTGAACACTGAAAAAAATGGCGGAAAGAACGATGCGAAATGCGCGAGAGTGAGTTGTGAAACGAAATTTGAAACGAAAGCTCAGAAAAGGGCAAAACAAAACAAGCTCACTCAAGGGCTCCGTTCTCAGTCACAGCCTGCGTCTCTGCTGCTGTGTAAGCGAAATGGCGAGATTGCCCCTTGGGGTTGGGGTTTGGTGATTTTGTATTTTTCTCTACATTGAAATGTCTTTAATATGTTTCTAATCTTTTCGTTTTGCATTTAATTTCCAGACATATTTAGAGTAATAATAAATTATTTCTATGTTACCCAATCAGTACATAAGTATAAGATAAAATACTGTAATATACATGTACCATTGAGTTTATATCCTTGTCGTATTTTATAAACCATATAAACCATATTATGTACTACTTCATCCACATTCAAATATATACTCAGTTTCCCTTTAAGTTGTTTCTCGATTTTTTTTCCAAGTAAAAATTATTATATATTTTTTTACCATAAAAGAAAAAAAATAATTATTATTTATTTTTATTAAAATTTTATCCAGTCAAATAAGGATATATTTGCATGGCATGACGGTGAGAATATAAAATATGTACTATCTACGTCGGCTCTAAGGATTTTATTTTTTTTTTGCGTGTTGATCTTTGAATATTAATTATTATATCAAAACGTAGTACAAATTAAAAAAAAAATTGCAAAAATATTTCTATTAGTGTCTTGTAATACTAATATAATGACATTTGTACAAAAAAATACACAAATATAAGGATATTTTTAATGTTAATAAAATGACGCAAAAAGTAAATGTGACCCTTGGATGCGGACGAATGGAGTATTATATATTGTATTATTATATATTACCAAAAATATATTGTCTAACTTAAATATATTTTGATTTGGTCAAATCACCATAATGATAATTTGACCTCTTAAGTATCGTAACTACTCTCATATATAGCTATTGTCTCTTTTATATCTTTCATCCACATCATATTTATTTCAAAATTTAAATTATTTCATTTATACTTGTTATGTCAAATCATATTTAACACCTTACCTTTACTATTTTTATAAATCCACAATAATTCATTTATTTCTATATATTTTTATTATCTAATAATATTTTTATTTAATATTATATTTGTTACATATCAATTTTATAATTAGGTTAAAGGACCCAAGTTAAAAGGAGATGTGGGCCTGTAATTGGGTCCACTAGATTAATTAAGAGGTGTTTCAAGATAATCGGTTGAACCGGACGTCCTTCTAAGGAAATAGGCAAGTCGGATGGTCTGCGAGTCGGACAATCCACAAGTCGGATGGTCTGCAAGTCGAACAGTCCACAGGTCGGATAGTTCGCAGGTCGGATGGTCCGCAAGTCGGATGGTCTACAAGGTGGACAGTCCACAGGTCGAATGGTCCGCAAGTCGGATGGTCTGCGAGCCGGACAGTCCACAGGTCGGATGGTCCGCGAGTCGGACGGTCCGCAAGTCGGAAGGTCTGCGGTCGGACAGGCAGGTCGGTTGGTTCGAGGTCGGATAAGTAAGTCGAAAGGTCCGCGGTCGGACAGGCAGGTCGGTTGATCCGCAGTCGAATAAGCAAGTCGGGAGGTCCGCGGTCGGATAAGCAGGTCGGTTGGTTCGAGGTCAGATAAGTAAGTCGGAAGGTCCGCAGTTGGATGAGCAAGTCGGCTGCTATAGAGGTCGGATGCTGCGGAGATCGAGTGAGAACAGTAGCTTGGTCGGTTGGGTTACGCAGTTGGTAAGACGATTGAGAACACGTGTCAGCAAAAGAAGAATTACTAGACGGTTGAGAGGAGGCGTTGTAACCGTTCGGGCGACGGTTCCAGGTATCGTTTCTGAAGAATATTTAAGGATTGGGGTCAGCAACTGGCAAAGGATCTTCAATTATCTTCAAACGACAACAAAGTCAGTGATTATGGGATCATCATTTAATTTTCACTCTGTAGTCAGGCACTAATTATATCAAATTCGAAGATAATTTCCTATTTTTAAATTTTACTTTTTATTGTTGAAAACTTTGCATCAACAATATTTTAACTTTTAAATATTAATCTATATAAATTTTAATAATTGAGATTATTAAAAATAAATTAACATATATATTAATTAAAAATAACATAAAAAAAATCATAATATAATATAAATATATAAAATAAATATATTAACAATATAACTTAAGAATTCTTATTTTTATTATCAAATTGTGTCCAACAGTTTTATAATTTAAAAACTTATTGAAAAGATCAGTATTTTCACTGGTCATTTTGTTTAATTGAATATGAAAATGTAAAAAATTGGTTAATAAAATTTAAATATATTTATAGATAATTTATATTCAATTTAAACTTTAAAATTTTTAAAATTTTAAAAAAAATTGGATAGTTTTTAATTTTTTTTATTTAAAAATATATATATATGCTCATTAACAATGGAACTTGACGACAATAAAATTTATTTTAATTTTTGATAATGTGCATATTGCTTTTAACTCTATTTGTTCCATTAGTATTCTTGAGCCTTCAATTAATACAGGATTTTTTTAAAGCTAAATGGCTTAAAAGTTCTTAATGTAAGATCAAAGCCACCGAATCAAGTGGATCACAACCATCAGAGCGATAATAAATTTTTTCAAGAGACAATTTTTATTAGCAATCATTGACTCAAACAAGGTAGAAAAAAAAAACCCAAATGAAGATGGAAAATAAAATTTGTGGCGATACCAAAAAATGACTGAGAAGAGAAGTTACGTCTAACCAAAGACGTTAAAGGACGATGTTGATCGGGAAGGTAACCCAATATTTTAATTGCTTTAGTTTTATTTGCATAATTTTCTTTTGATTTTTGTTCATAGTGGGTGAAATTTTCTTCTTAACGTATCCTTACACAATACTGTGTGGATTCAGTGATAACTCCAAATAATAGCATATGTTTTGCTTGAAAAAACTATATATTATTTGAATTTTTATGTGAAAACTGTTAAAATATATGATTTAAGGCATACTTTATTGATTTGTTTCGCTTGGATGATTCAGAGCCTATCATTGAGATTATTGACGTTTTTGACCTTTTTAAGTGATGATTCTGGTCCAAAAAAATCTAAGATTGTGTTCTTTTGTGAATTTTAAACAAGGTTTTTACTATTCAATTTTTTTTTTTTTCTCTAAAACATCAAATCAAATAATCACTTTTCTTTTTTATATTATACTAAAAAATTATTTTACATTCAAAATATCACATCATCATTTATCTATATCATATCAAACAAATATTCAAATTCAACTTTTTGCTATTAAAAAATCCAAACCCATAAACAAACACACCTTAAGTGTTGAAAGTCAAGCGAAGACGCTCCGGCTCGGCAAGAGATGCTCTTACCGCTTGAGCCAGCGCCAGCGACCATACATCCGCCGATGCAAAGCGAGATTGGACCACTTCAAAATTTGATTAAGTCTTCATTTCCCAGCGATCAAGTGATTCCATTACCAGCCAGTGATGACAGCACCGCTTGAGCTGCGTTGATGCCCTCCAGCCATCCAACTAGGAAGATCTGTGCCCTTACATTCTAAAGTAGGCAAAGCGACTACCCTGGGAGTTATGGTCGGTGCAACTACTTCAATAGATTAACAAACGTCAATAGCCTAACTATCCAGCGGTTTCAACTGCTGCTAAAATGCTCTACAACTGCTGATTCCATAGATCTATAAACATGGACATTCGATTTTTAAAATGCACATTGCATTAAAGTGTTAAATTCTTTTCAACAGATTTTGTGCTTTCCGAGAGTTCCAACTCTGTAAGGGAGTTCTCTAGATAGGAATGGCCAGAGGAGTTGAGATCATCTCCTTATCTGGCCGCTCACTTTAGAGATTTCTAGAATAGTTTAGTGCTTTGATTTACAACTTTGTTACTGTTTTGGTAATGTAGATCGTTACTATTTTCTAGTAATTAATGAAATATCATGATTTCTTCATAGTTACCTTCATTCCCCACTTCATCTTTGTGTTGAAATGATAAATTTAGAATTCTATTTCGCTGAGAAAGAATAGAGAAGAATCGATTGTTTAGAACCTAGATTCGCGTTGTATTCATTAACAGAATTTCGGCAGTTCAATATAGTTAAGTACGCGGGAGCCTTGTCGACTTGCTTAGCTGCCGTTCCGAATTCGATTCTGATTGAAGAAAGGTAAGAGAAGGGTAAAGCCACTAATGAGATAGAAGTTAGGATAATTAAAGGGGCATAGACGCTTTTCTATTAGGCCATAGGAATGTCTAGTGATAGTAGCATTTCTTGTTTATAATGTTCTGATTCTGGACGTCATTGAAGTCTTGTTGTAAATTCTTTAAGGTCAAGTATCAACGATTTTAGGTTTTTGTGTTAATCATTTTGCACAAGTATATTCATTTTTTCTGTCATTACGTGTTATAAATATATGTTTCGTTTACTCACTAGCATTGCTCGCTCACTACACCTATGAATTTTTAGCCATTAAGGAATGCACAGATCACACACAACATTATATGATCCCCCTCATCGCTCATTTCGTACCATATAGATATATCATGCTCACTTTTTATCAACTCGCTCCCGCTCACTACCGCTCTCGTTGTTCTACCACTTGCGTGCCATCCTCTCTACAGCTCTCACCAACCACTCATTTTAATCGCTTTATTTTAAATTCAGTCTTAGTTTAACTCTCCTCTCGCTCGCTCACAAGTGAACCAACCTTATTGCTTTTCCATTGCACTTAACTTGTATGAAATTTCTCATTTAATTTTTCGACTTAAAATCGCTGTTTTCGACCTAGAAACTCACTAGTAAAAAAAGTATAAATAATAATGATAAGGCGATTCAAGGTCTACAACTTCATTTTCATCATCTATATCTGAACATGCCCAATAATGCACACTTTACTCAAATACTTTATTAATAAATTCCCTACCTAAATAAAAATTTTCTCTTATCATAATTTTGCGTTGTTTCTGGGAATTTTAAACTTATGGAATAAAATCTTAAACTAATCGAGTTTTGCGTCATAATTTACTTTTAACTTCTGTTAATTATTAATTTTTGTCTATGTACTAACTTTTCTGTGATGTGGCAG